CGGTCTGCACCCCCATTGCTGTCCGGACGTAAACCCAGGGAAATTTCTTTTCCCTGTGACCAGTGGCTGTTTTTGCACATGATGGAGCATGGTGGAGTGTTTTGTGCTAAGGGCTCTCTTGTCCTGGCAGACGTGGCGGTGGGGAGGGAAAGGCTGTGAAGAGGAGGGAGTTCCCAGGAGAGGCTTGCCAGGAGGGGTCTGGGAGGGCAGCGATGCATAACTGTGGGTGCACAACAACCTCCCTGTGCAAAACCTTCCACAAGAGGACTGGGAGGTGGTCGAGATGGTGCTGGATGTGCTACAAGGTGCCAGCTGGGTACTAGAGCACAGCAAGTGACATGGGAGATGAAAAATCACAGCTCCAGCATCAGCGAGCGCCCAGGGTGATCCACAGGCAGTGTATCTGCAGGGGTAAGGAAGCGTGTGATAACATCAGGGCAGGATGGGGTCTCCAAAATAGGGGCAGTTTCACAGTGGTGCCCCCCATCACGAGTGCAGCTAGCTAGATTCCCTGCTTCTGTTTGTACGGTCGTCTCTTGAGGTTTGTATGTTTTACAACCCCAATACCAAATTTACTCAGTCCATTTTTAAATAAACGCATAGTTTAAGTTACCCCTTACATCCCTAGAGAGCTATTTGATAACTTCTGCTCTAAAGCGTTACCCTGGGAATTTCTTGCCTTTTGTTGGGAAAAGAATAACACTGCACCCTGCTAACCACCCTGCTCGTCTAAACCCACCCCCTTCACCCCAATGCCTTGGCATCAGACTGCTCCAAAGTGCAACTTGCTGGGAGGATCAGGAAGGGGGGGACTGGAGGCAGATGGAGACAGAGCCCAAAGCTTACGGGCACTGGACTCAAATGTACAGCATCTGAGAAGTGCTGCTGGTGGCACCGTAAAGGACAGGATGGTGCCATTCCTGCAGGCAGTAACTACCTCAGAGCTTAAATAATGCATAGGGTAGACAAAACTAACGCTGCTGGAAAAAGAGATGATGGCCTGGCTCAGGGAAGGGGTTAGCAAATTCTTTTGGCCGTAGTTAAACGATTAGAGCATGTAAGATACAGGTTTACTGAAGACATCCTGCTGGAACCTTTTCACACAGAGTCCCCCAGGGAGCAGTTTCTCGCTTCCTCTGCTAACGTGCAAGTTCATGGATGCCAGTAAAGCGGCAGGTGGGGGGTTAAGGGCAAGGCAATGCCCCAAAACACAGAGTGGCTGAGGTTGGAAGGGACCCGTGGGGGGTCATCAGCCCTGCTCAAGCAGGGCCACCGAGAGCCAGTTGCCCAGGACCATGTCCAGATGGCTTTTGAATATCTCCAAGGAGGGAGACTCTACAACCCGACCACTAATGAAGATGTTGAACAGGATTAGAGCCAGTGTTTGGAGCAGGATTTTTGCACCAGTGTTTGCCACGTAACTGCAAAGAAGCAGGAACTACAGAGCTGTGTTTTACACTGGCTTTTGTGAAACATGGACCAGCGTGACCACCACAAAGAGCATCTCACATGGGTTATCCTTTCTATGTGATGAGGCCTTGCCACTTGTACCCATGGGTTGAATTCTGCCTGGGCACATTTTCCATCCAACAGAAACAGGGAAAAAACCCCCAAAAAACCAGGGCTACAGAGAGTCTGCGAAGGACATGAAACCACAGGGCACTTGTCTGGGTGGCACCTCCCCAGCAGCTTTTCAACCCCCTGTCCACCGGCAGCCAAGGGTGACAAGAGAGCACAGAGGTGTCAGGGATGCAGAGGGAGCATCCACCCACTTTTTGGTCACTCCACACTCCCTCTGCAAGCAGAGCTCCTGTCTGGGGAGCCTGGGGTGCAGCTGCCTCCTCCGGGGGTGCTTGTCCGCCCAGAGCCAGGGGGTTGCAGCCAGACAGGCACAGCTCTGCTGCACAACGAGGTGGGGCGAGCCGAACCACGGCCCCACAGCTCCTGCGAGAGCCTTGGTGGCTGGCAGAGAAGGAAGAGGGGGCGCCAGCAGCTTTCCCTCCACCTCGGTGACAGGAGTGCCAGAGATGGAGAAGGCAGCACACCTACTGGGACACAGGGAGAGCTGGTGTTACCCTAGGGGTGATGGAGCCCAAAGCATAAGGGAAATAAGGTGCGAATTCTTAAGAAATGAGGGTTTCACTGGTGGTGCTGTGCAGGGTATGGTGTGTAATTTCCTTTACGTTCTAGTGGTGCCTAAGCTACAGCAGCGAGTTTTCAATCAAAGGCTAACGGGTGCCTGTCACAGGGAGTTTTCTACTGACAAAGTGTGTTGCTCAGAGGGCTGGGGGAGAAGGGGGAGCCACTGCCCGTACAGTGACTACGGTCATGACTCTCAGGCTTGGGTGGGCTCTTGCTTCACCATTTCCCTCTAATTACCTGAGGAAGCAATGGGGTAGCGCACTCACCTACAGCTGACTCTGTTTCATATTTAAAAAAAAAAAAAATAATCTTTCCCTCTATCCAAATTTCTGTGATTTATGCAAAAAGCCCACAGCCACCCATAACTGTCTCCTCCGGGAACAGTTCCTCGGGGCTACCTTTTACATTTCCAATTGCATTCATAACCCATCCATAGCAATGCACCCAGTCCACATAAGTAAACAGCAGCAAGGACCACTAAGCACTAAAAATCCCCGTTTTCTGCCTCCAGGCTGCCGGTGTCCTGTAGCAGCCAAAAGAGGGAGATGTGACCACACTAAGCTGGCAAGGCCCTGACAGCCCTTATGTACTCACCTATGTTATTACTTACCGTAAGAGCCCTTACATACTCACCTATGTTGTTACTTAACTATAAGAGCCCTTGTTACTCATGTACAACTAATTAGAGCTTGAAAAAGTTTCTAGTGAATGTTCATCCTGTGTGCCAAAATAGCTTGGGGGGAAACTCTGACAAGCAATAAAACATCTCTGGTTTTTCTTTACTCCTGCTAATGACTTGGACCTGTCTGCCGTGACCGAACCAGTCCTAGTAGTTTCCCAGCTCAAGCAGATGTTCTTGAAAGGGACCTTCCCTCAAACACACACCTCAGCTGTGTATTTGGCATCAGGGCAGCTCTCCCCAGGTAAGCATCCCCTGGTGAGCCAGCGGCCTATGCTCATGAAATCTCAGCAACATCTGCTGCCCCATTTTGTACATTGGCAGGAGAGATCAATCCAGGTTATGGTACAAATACCACATTTGAGAGAGCTGATGTCACTTTTCAGCTGGAGAAGATACCCCTTCCTCTGCCTCTGGTGCACAAAGCTATCCTGTGCTGCAGACTCAGCACCACCCCAGGGGAAGGTGAAGCGACGCACGGCGGGACTGTGGAGACCAGGCTCAAGGATAAAACACGCTGTGGGGTCCCCCAGGACTGACTGGTATCTCTAGCTGGTAGCAGCAGCTTTTTCTTTCTGCACACCATGAAATATGATATTCGCATGAGCCATGGACCAGGGGATGGGAACCGGGGAGCAGGGCTGTGCCAGGTGCCAGCTTCACCGCAGCAGCTAGCTGAGCTGTTCTCCCTTCGACATAGGCAATGAAAACCCCATTTTGATTAGACAGCGGCAAGAGCCACGCAGACAGGGCTACACTCTCCCTTCTGGGGTGCCCCGGCTCTCTGGCCTGCCTGCAGCAGCTTGGGTGCAAGCACTGAAGATGAGCAGGGTGGAGCAGGGAGATGTCTCACAGGGAGCTCTGCCCAGGCAGGGCAGCAGGACAGGGAGGTCAACCATGTAGCCCAGGGGCTTCCGAGGGAGAGATTTCCTCTGAGCAAGGGTGCACACAGGAGCAAGAGGGTAGTCAGTCTCTGCTGGAAGCCACCCAAACCCAGCAGGGCTGGCTGGGGCAATGCTTGCCTTAGAGGGGAGGCAGCTGGGGTGGGAGAAGATGGGAGGCAGGCTGCCCAAAAGCAAGCACGTGTGTCTGTGCATAAATACCAAACCAGTAAATACATTTTTAAAAGTGGGCCTGATCTAGAATGCAAAAGCAAAGCCAGCAAGAGCTGTGCTACAGATCTCAAGGAAAAGCAGATTTAGGTCCACACTCAACACGTGAGGATACAGTCCATATTTATACGCTAATCCCTCTTCAGCTAACTGCACAGGCTGCCAAGTGGCAGGTGAAGTCCCATGTCATTAAGACCCAGGGCACTATTTGCTTTTTTTTTTTGGTAACATACAAACACTAGAGACCTAAAATTTGAGAAATTTCTTATTTTCTCCTTTTGAGATGACTTTCAGCACATCTACAGTAAGCAATCATACCTACTGTCAGCCTCTGCAGTATTTCTACAGGCTTCCCAAATTCAGTAATATCTTTTTTTTAGCACTAGGCTTTTGATTAAAAGTTCACTGAATAATTTTCATTTTGTGTATTAGGGTCAAACACCATTCTTGGTTTTGCTATTCCAATAAAATGGGCACTATAAACACTTTCTGGGGCTATTTCCCATTACCTACTAAGCAACTCTTAACGACACAGCATTAAGTCCAACTAGCACGAGCCAAATGTGGCAGCTTCCCTGCTGGTGTTTATTGCTCAGGCTTTTGTTTTCTTACTAGTTGTTCCACTAGATTAACACGGATCGCTCTTAAAAGTGCCAGCCTGTACCCAACAGGATCAACCTTTTTCTCTTATCCCAATCATGAAAAATAAGCAGCTAAAAGCAAGTGGTAAAGTGAAAAGCTGGGAGTGGGAAAAACACAAGATAGAGGAAAAAACCTGGAACTTCAAGGAAAATATTTTACTGGATTTCCCAAAGCACGAATATGTCATCCATAGCTTTACACAGAGAACAGAAATTATAAAAAAATACTTTGTATTATTTGAAAAAACTAAGCAAAATACCTAACGTGTGTATATACATCTCTGTATAAAACGCGTCCTCACTTGGTTCTCAGAGAGCGAGCACAGAACATTCAAACAGCTTAAGTAATTGTTTTCCATTTCTGATTTCCAGGTCTCCAAGTAAGAAACAGTAGAAGTAAGGACAACTTTTGAAAACACCATGAATTCACGCTCAAGGGAAAAGTGGGGCCAGCCCTATGCGTCTCTACATCTATTGAGTCCCCACGACTGGCAGTGCAACCCACGTTCAAACAAAAATAATTACAAAGGCTGTTTTTAAAGAAAACACTTTAGCAATAGTAGCTACAGTTACAAAAAGGTAATGCTATAGAAATGGTATTTTTAAAAGCCACGGTGCTCTCTTCTCTTGAGCAGTCGTTACACAGCAGAATATCATCTATTCGCGTTCAGAAAGATGCCGGGCTGCTGCTGTGAGCACTGTGCCGAGCAGCAGCAAAGCTGTCTCTTCTCACCTCTGACAGCTGCTGGCCCAGAGATTTTTCAGTTTGTTGTTTCTTTTGTGGAAGGCCGTGCCCAGAACATGGCATTTCCAAACAGGCACAGAACACCAGAGGCTTTTTAGCTTGGCAGTGGACTCGTACTGAGCAACCTCTGGGTAGGGCGCAAGCCCCTGTGCAGCACCCTGAGTCACCGCTGCATTTTTCTTCGTCATGCCGCGACTGCAAACAGACCATTTTTTCTGCAGCAATTTCTAACCCTGAGCTTGAAAGGAATCTCACCTCTGCTTCCAACTAAACTTTTAATGAGCAATGTTATCTAAAAGATCAGAGCAATCTCTTTGCAGGAACTGGCAGCATCTGGAAGTTGGACACACCACCTCAGTAATGGTCCAGGCAGTGAAGGTCTCAGTATTCATGGCACAGGATCTTGGCTTCCCAAGGCGGTAACAAGCCAAGCCAAGCCAAGGCAGGAGCATTTGATCTGGTGACAAATGTTCTGTTTCAGGAACTTCACACAGCTTTGATTATGTATTGAAAGGTAAAGGAGTGACAGGGCTATACTCACCCACATGTTAGCACTTAACTGGAGACATTAACACTGTACAATTTGCTCGTGTGAGCATCTTCCATACTTGCACTGTAACCAGGGTGCTGGTGGCAATGCTTTCTGCATGTGAACAGTCACACCATTTGGGAAACAAAATCCTTGCAGGTCCCAGGTTTACTCACACAGAAGACTGCATTTCAATTTTTAGAAGGGGCTGCCTCACACTGGAAGGAATTATCTTTGGACCAGTCTTTCTTGAGGAGCTACTGTGGGGAGGACTGCAAAGGCACAGAGCATCTGTTTGGTGCCAAAGACACTGTTGCGTGTGAACTCTCCGATAACAGAGACAAAACTGCAGAATCCTCTTTCTCCCAAGTTGCTGTAAGCTTGTTTCCCTATAACCATGCAATTTGAACAAAAAGAAGGCAATTCCTTTCCTTTACATGCTCAGTGCCATCCTGTTCCCTGCTAACAGTCTATGGTCTGGCTGCATCAATACGCTCATTGTAAAGCCCATCATCTCCTGACGGTATCAATTTACTCAGATCACCGCACCCCATCTCTGACCATTTGCCCCCAAACTTATGGGTTAAGCAAAAACAAGTTTAACTTTTGACTGTGTCACGAATCGCAGGCTGGCATTTTACGTGGGAACAGCCTTACTACAATTCTCAAGATCTGTGTCGTAACAAACAGTGGGTATGGAGGCATCAGTCAGTCAGTAGGCTGGCAGTTACCATCAGAAGATCTTACCTCTCTTAAAACTACTGCGTGTCCTGTTATGTCCACCACAGCCCACCATCAGCCTCAGAGCCACCCAGCTGTTCTTTCCACAGAGGTTGTTCTCCAGGAATTAGTGGTGGTAGCAATTTTTTGCAGAGCAGCTCCTCTCTTTACAAACGATGCTGGAACCAGCATGGAAGGTGCTCTTCAGCGGCATGGCAATGACATCACCTGAAAGCAGCGTGCAACGTCCCAAAAGTCTTTTCTGAAAACTTACTGGTCCTTACACTGTCCCTGCAATGTGCTCCAGTGATCCAACGATCTTGCTAGATAAGCAGTTTGCAAAACTCTGTTCACCATCTCGCAAAGCTTCTCCTATAAAGCCTTCTGGTGCCAGTTCAATTGTCTTTATTCAGTATATTACCGAATGATCATGTGCTTGCAAGCATTCAGTGGCTTTTTCCACTGGAAATAAACCATAGGGTTAACAGCCCCACGCCCCAAACACAACAATGCACGCTGGAAGCTAAAGTTGAGGAAGGATTCTCAGACATACGAAATAACAATTAAGAGAGCTGGGGGAGAAGAAGGCGGAGAGGATAGATAAATGCCAATATTGTAGACGTAACTGATATCATGCAGGTGTGAAACAGAAATCTGTAAAAGTAATGGAGCAATGACAAGGTAAATAAGGTGTTACAAAGAAAAAAAAAGAAAAAAATCAGGCCCTACATGTGAAAGATCTACATAAAATAGCCCTAAATCCTGGTACAAGTACAGGAGCACTGAGATTAATAAGGGGGAAGGTTTTATGCAGACGCCTCTCCAGTGTCTGTTTTCCCCACAAGACATTTAAACAGAACTGTAGCACTGGGAAAATCCCCTGCTGTCACAACTCAGTTCCGCGCTGTTAAGATTGAACACACAGATATGTTATCAATACAGATGACCGTAGCGTAGCTTCAGACATTTGGAGTGCCCCAGCACATGAATCCACACCACAGATAGTTCAAAATTACATGCGGTTCATCCGCCATCCCCCATTACGATGTAGCATCCCCCCAGCCCATCTGCCAAACAGAAGAGGACTGACTCCTGAGGGCAAACCCCTAGATAAAAATCAAGTTAATTAGTCTGTGAGAAGTTATAAGGTGATTTCTGAGAAGCATCACTGAAGACATGCATCTTTGTGCCATTCCCTCTCTGGTAACGGGGCTTATCTGCTCCACATTAACTGTTCCGAGCTTGGCTCAGACGCATCCCGGGCGCAGGACGGAATCCCTGTGTGCATAGGGTTCAAGGGCAACATGTCAGTGACGCGGCAGGAGGTAGGCTGCTGCTTCCAAAGGCAAAGCTGCTCTTAAAATAAACCAAACTCCGTGACAATGACAGCAAAAAAAAACCCCAACAACCCAGCCAAACAAAAAAATCCCAGTTGATAAATGTAAGTAAAAAAAAAAGGTGCCTAATTGCTACTGAGCATTCTTCTCCCTGAGATCACCAAAAGCACCATTTTACATATGATCCTATTTTCAAAACCTGTCTTTTATCACAGTTAGGAAGTCAGCAAAAAAAAGGAATCTGACACTGAACGCTGAATTCCAATCCTTACATTTTCGCAATGTATTTCTAGCCCTTTATACTTCCCAAAATTCGCTAGAATACTGTCCAGTCTTGATTAAGCTGCTAATTTATTTCCTCTTTGCCAGGGAAGATGCTGACCAGGTGCGTATTTGTGAAATATTTTAATAATGTTAATGACTTTAAACTCAATGCAATTTTAGTGCCATTAATTCCAGAGGTCTTCCTTCTTCACAACTGGTGCATCAAAGGTAGAGAACAATGAAAACAGCAGTATTAAAAAAAGAAAAAAAAGCAACCTACATATTGCAGGAAGTTAACGTTTCTACAATACACAGACTGCATTTGTACATTCAGCTATACTGAACGCTGTACTCACCAGGTCTATACAACTTGACACAAACACAGAGGGGAAAAAAAAAATCACAGCAAAGACCGAAACTTGAAAAATAGCAGTGCAGAAGGCTCTGGAAGCCACGTACAGGTCTTAAATCCCTGCTGGACTGGACTAATCCATCTGGAGCACCCAATGCAAAGGCAACTGGTTTGAGCATTACACATTTTTTTTAAGTTTTATGTCATATACATATGAGGTGCATTACACATTTGTTTATGACCTGCGCTAGAAAATGCAGAAAAACAGATGCCCAATTAGGTTAATTATGACAAGGAGAGAAGTACATTATTTGTCTCTCCTGTACACCTAGGCTAGTAAGTAGCTTCCACTGTTGAAAATAGATCTCCCTCATCTTGATGCATATAGCCAAGGACAAATTAAGATAAAAGAAAATGCCACAAAAGTACAGAAAAGGAAAAATCAATGCGTACTACAATGAGCTATATATCTTTATCTTAGAAAGGTAAATCTCTGAAACTGGAAGAAGTAGTATACCAAAGTCTCAACCTAAAGCATTCATCTAAATAAGAGACTGATACAGAACTGCGGCAGAAAGAGTATTTTCCAAGGCAATGACATTTGAAATCAATCCCTGTGAATAAAAACATCCAGATGAAGAACATACAGAAATAACACTCCTTTGAAAATGCAGTCACCTCACCACCAACCCTGGACCTCACATCAATTGCGCAGATTTGTCAGCCATGTGCATTTCTGAAGTTCTGTTTCACTAGGAATGACAAACAACTGTCCATGAACAAGGACACAGCACCTGCATTTTGCATTTATAGAACTTAGTCTGACCAAAAAGGTCAGATGCTGAAAAGACATGTCTGAACGGAGAGAGAGATTTTGCGATACTCCTTGAGAAAGAGAATCTCTATGGGATTGCTCAGCTGTAACAGGTGCTGTTGAGGAACTCCTCTCCAAAACTCTTGACTGCACGGGATGCTGCTGCATCAGAGTATGTAGTGAACAGCCTTTGAGATCAGAGAAATTCTCTGGACAGCTGTGGCTTTTCAAGTGAAATCCCAGACTATGACTTAGACTCAGAATGCAAGAAACTATCACAGCAGAGTGCAAGGTGACAATGTGATATGGTCAGCATTTTTGCCTTTAGCAATTAATCATGCCAGTCTTAACTTCTAGAGAGTCTTCTCCTTCAGCATAGCAGATTGTACATCTAGATTGGGAATGAGAGGAGGATGGAAATCCACAGGACTGAGACAATCTTCTACAGGCCAGTACAGACACAACTGACAAAGGAGGCAATGGAGAAATATTTATCACCAAAGGTCACAGGTTTCATCAGTTCCCCAAACTGACACGAAGCCAAACAGTCACTTCTGGTTTTACTGAGGGAAATCTAGCTTTTTAGTAAATTTTTATTCTGCTCCAAGTTCATCTTCAAGTAGGAGGTACAGATGTGCACTGTTAGCATACCGCTAGCAATGCAGCATGCTCACCACGTTGGTGTCTATCCTCAACAGATTTGTAGATAAATTGCTTAAAGGGTACGTGAATATTCTTCTCAAGCTACATCTGAACCGTATGTTCTGCAATAAGGCTGTAACAGACAGACTTTTCAGTAAAAATGAGGAAGTTTATACCCAAGTTTACTTCAGGGCCATCCCTTCAGCCTTACAGCAGATTCCCTCTGCCTGCTGGGAGAAGGGAAAGCAGATACAAACCGTTATATTCCTAATAAAGGAATATGTAGATTGTAAACTCCTTGGAAAAGGGCAGTCACCTTCCTCTTTAACTATAAAGCACTGACTGCAAAACGTGTGGTAATCATACCACACATGGCACAAACCTGTTTGAACCGTTCACATTAGAGCTTCAAGCACATTTCTTTGTGAGAGATCTCGGTAGCGTCTCTGATCAAGCTGAAGTTCTGAGGTTTCCTAGCCAGAGTGAAGAGTTAGCGGGTTCTTCTATCAGAAGTATCTTTAGTGCTTTGGTTTGGTTATTTATCCTTATTTTTCTTTTTTCCAAGAGGGAAAAAAGCAAAAGATTCAATAAGAAACCTTGGAAGACTTCAGAGGAATTATTTCTTGCTACAGTATATTTAAAGTCTTGAAAAAAAAAAAAGTGTTTATAAAATAAACAGACCATTTAATTTTGATGCCTCTCCTCAAGGCAGATGAAAAGTCTTGTTCCATATTTATGCAGCACGTAGGTTCAATGGTGCACAAAATCTTGACTGTGGACTGCAAGAGATACTCCACACAACAGTGCAACATTAATCCACTGACATTTTTTCCATAGAAAAGTGGTGAGTTTTTCTTTCACGAAGTAGAAGTTAATGGTTTTAAACTGTACTGGGCAACATGAAACCACAAAAATTTAATTATAGTGGAAACAATTTCAAGCTTTTGGTTTTTTTTCCAATTTAATCCTACAATGAAATCAAAGCTTTAGTGCCATCTGGTTGTCATTACCTGAAAAATCTTGACTTTCGTGATTAACTGAAGAGTACAGTGAGATCTGCTACCAGACAAGTTAATCTGTCCATGTCTTCTTCAAAGGAAAGAATTTGGCAACTTCAGTTCAAAGGAAATGGAAAAACAAACACCTCAAAGAATAGCAGTAAAGACTCATCACTTGCACAAGAGTTCTGAGCATCCACAGATGAGTAAGTTGAAGCAGTGTAGGTGTTTGTTGGTAAAGCTGCTTTCTGTGCTCCAAACAGTAATACAGCATTCTCAAAAAACAAGCTACATGTACAAAGGCTAGCACCCGGATCAGCAACAGTGGTCAAACAAAACTTTCATTAATATCTGCATCAGACTTACCAAAACAGAGCAAAAAGATACATTTTAAATGCTGCTTAAGATACCTTGTCATCTGCATGTGGTGTAGTGCCAAACTAAAGTAATTGTCTGTATTACCTACCTGTCAAAAGAAATATTTCGATTTTTGCAGTTTAAGGCCATTTACACTCTGAAGCCGGGAAGAACTGCAGCTCTGTTCCCTTTCTGTGCTAAATCCCAGAGAAGAAAAGTAACATCCTACAAGACCTGAACAGAAGAAATCTTAGTTTTTGAAAGTGCTTCCATTTTCTGGGGGGCAATGCTTCAGTTTACATGTAATCTGTTAATGGCTTGTGCTTTTTAAAGGAATTAAAAAGTACTTCCAAATCACCCTTAACAGGTTTTCTCAAGATGAACTGCTTTCTAAATCGGCTTGCTCAAATGTGCTTTTGATCTGCAGACAAAAAATGGTAGGGATTACTTTCAGATTCTCCTCCACAAATATATATGCAGCCAGTAGCTAAAGCAGACACCTCAGACAGTGGAGATGCTAGCACATTCTAGCCACATAAGACAGATTCCAGCTCAGATAATTAGAGTAAAACTAACTGAATTCCCATTTTTCATTTTTTTTTAAATTTCTTTTTTCTTCATTTAGATGGAAAGTTTTCACTTCTCAAGTGTTTTTTGTTTGTTTTGGGTTTTTTTGTTGTTTGTTTGTTTTTTGCAAGGAGCACTGCAGTTATAATTTCTCTCCAAAGAAAGCAGCATCACAGGAATTGGTGAAGTGATAACAACCTTGCAGTCTTCAAATATTCCCCTGAGAGTACGAACTGGTCAAACACAGCAACTTCATACATAATATAATGGTCACAGCAGACAGTTCAGATGCCATCCTAATAAAAAGCATCAGAAGTTTCCTGTGTAAAGCTAAACATCCATTCATACATGTGTATCTTGACCAGTTAAGGAAACAAACTTTGTCCCGGTACAAACATACAAGGGAAGCAGTATGGAGAAATATTTGAATAACTGATACTCCAGAGCACAAGCCCTAGGGAAAGGCCTCCCCTCCCAAAGAGTTCCACAAGTCAGAAAAATATTAGAAAAAAAAGAAACTGTGCCATTTCCACCCAGGCAGCTTTAAGGTTTGCAAATTCAAATCTTAAATTCTACAATTCAAACAGACCAGAGCCTCCTGACTAGAAACCCAACACAGAATAGAAAACATAAGCAACTTCAAAACACTTTGTCTCTCCATTTCTAGTAATTTGCTGTACTTTTTGTTTGGTAACAGTATTTGTGCTTACCTGGTTTAAACAAAACCATGAATAAAAGAGCACATTCTGCTTCCAAACAGTATTAATCAGCTAGAAAGTGATAATCCACCTGAAGGAAATATTGTCATTACCAATTTTCCAACCTACATGCATGAGGAAGAGTTAAGGCTCCAGGCTGCAGATCCAGTACCATGCAAATCTGGAAGTGGTAGAAAGAGACATCGCAATTGCTGAAACACTCTGCTGGTAAGAATGAAATAAACTGGTTTCACCGTGAAGAAGAAAGTGATTAATCTAAAGCAGAAATCAGAAGAATTACTTGGTGTTCTTTTAGTTGGTTGAAGGATTCTCACTCGCACCTGTAGGAATGGATGAGCAGGAGAAGAGAATACAACTTTGATTCAAGTTTTATGAGAGAATAAAGATGACGGCCCCAGGGACTCAAAACAGAGAGTTGCTCCATTTGTATCTTAAATTCTAGGAAATTTCTGTTCTCTTCACATTTCTACTGTGATAAGAAAACTAAGTATAGTCAGTCTTATACCACCACATTGCAAGAAGAGTTTCTTTTTACCACTTATAGTTCACGCTGCAAACGTGCAGATCTCAACCAAGATGGCCACCTCTGCTCCTCAAATACATTATCTCATAGTATGCAAGTTGTCCTGGTACAGCTTGATCCCAAATTGTCAGTGGACCTCAAGTTCAGTATTGAAACCTCATTTCCTGGGGGTAATCTGGGAAACATTAAATAACAAAGAGAGGCACAATAAAAAGGAACCATGTACCCATCAGTACTTGGCTTCCTGAGGATGCAGACCATGTGAATGTTCCACAGGCAAAGAAAACTCTCAGTACTGCTTCCCCTTTCCAGTCCACGTATGCCAAGCTACAATACTCCAAGAGAGTTCCTGGGTTTCAGTTCAGTCAACTCACAGTTAGCTCGCTGCATGCTGGCAGAGACGTTGGGAACTTCATAGAAAAAAAGCACAATTTGCCTCCAACCCAGATCAACCATGTTTTCTTCAAGTCCTGAGGTCTGTCCAATATTGTGTGGGTTTCTAAAATCTCATGGCAGCAATATTAATAATAAAATTGCACAATCTTCTAAGGGAAATTGTGTCCAAAGGGCATGAAACGATTCACCATGACAGCCGCATTAAACAAATGGACAAAGAATATTTTTTCTTCTGGTAACAATAAATTTGTTTAGGTGGCAACGAGCTGTCCCACAGGCTGAATGACTTCGTTCCGTTGAAAAGGACTCTCAAGAGTGTTCCCATGATGTTGAAATTTCAGATTGGGAAAAACCGATTTTGGCTGGCAAGGTCACGTTCTTCTCTTTCATTTAAAAGCACGCTAATGACAGACTATTCTGCAGGAAGCATACTTTCTAATGTGACTTGCAAATCACGATTCTTCACAATTTTTAACTGCTTAACTGGATTAGACGTGGGCTTTTTAGGAATAGGTTAATACATTTGTTTCAGTGTAATATTCTACTTTTCCAATTCAATCCTTTCATAAAAGCCACTACTGAAATCCATGGTATCTAAATGGTTGTTCAGAGATTGAAAGGCTTCAGAAATAGTTAAAACACCACCTTACAGACAGACAGCAACAGCGATGTATTTTGTTTACCAACAGACAGGCAAGGAACAATTGATGGACTGGGTTCGCAAAGATGACTGAATCAAAGTCGAAAAAATACCAAACCCAACCTGATGGGTGAAAAGTGAAACTCCCAACTTGTACAGACACCAATTCTTCCCTTCTAAAGACTGGGAAATAATAATGCAAGGTAAGTCGCTTACCTATGTTGATATAAACATTTAAGAAAAAGAAAACCATGGCACTTTCAGAACCGACATAATATTCTACACTATATTTTCACTCTTTCATACCATAGTCAGACCATCATGCTTAATGAGCAATCCTACAGTAAAACACAAGGTGACTGAAGACGACAACTAAGCTCTATTCACATAGCAGCAGCATGTCTTAGGTTGCACATTCCCTTGCAAAAAGTACATGTACTTCTACCATGAGAGCGGTAGTTTCAATACTCTTAAAAAAAGCAGACCGTCTTGAGAAAAACTGAAGTGCCACAAGAAATTGTAATTCACAGAAAATAGTGTTTTAACAGTCAACTTTGCTCAAGAGGTGGCAGCTCCATTCTGCAGCAGCTGATGATTTTTTCCAAGTTGTATTTTTAAATGTGATGCACTGCACAGAAACAGTCCAACTTAAAGTTACCACAATTGCATGCATGGTCAAAGACGGATCATTATCCGAGAGCACTGGATGCGTATCTTCCTATTTAGCCATCAATGAACGCAGGTATTCTTTCTGTTCAGTGCTCTGAAAGATGCTACTGCCAATATCAGTGAGCAGATGATGAGTAAGAACTAAATCAGGATCAAAACTTACTGGATTTTGTAGTGAAGGATTTTCTAGACAGAATTGAAATCACTAATTACCAAGCTCTGACTACAAGCCAAGCATAGGACTACCTAGCTATTCTCAGTTCTGTCAGCAGCAGTGATGAATTTTTCCTTTTTGCTCGATTTCTTCACTCACTGAAGGACTACAGTGTGTAGAATCTGTGACAGGTGGTAGTTCTGGCATAAGTTATTCTCTTTGAGAGCCATTTCCTGTGAAGCAGATGAAGACTGACCTGCTAAACATTCAAACCAACTGAAACAAATGGCAAAGGTTATGAAACAGTATAGAAATGGAAAAGGTCTGAACTTCAGGGAACCAGGAAGACAACAACAAAAACCCCCAAGCCCTTCAGCCTGTTCTGATTAAACAGTTTGACATACAGTCTGTAACAGTATGTTTTCATAACTGAAATTTTGCCCTAAACTTGAAGATTGATACATTTTCCTCTCTGTTCTCGTCAAAGTATAACTTTATGTATATTCTCTGCTCATCTCTCTTTAATTCCACATGCACCACAGAATAAGCAGTGACACCACTCTGGGTGTTATCTGCTAAAATAATTTTCAAAATTATTAAAAACAGTAATCAATATGATCAGTTCTGTCATACGCTATCCATTTACATGCCCCAGAAATATTATTTAGCCTGGAAAGGAAAATGTTAGAAAAGGATCTGCTTAGGAGTATTAAAAAAAATACAGACAAAACCATTATAAGTTCTTAAAAGTCAAGAAACAGCATCAACTTGTAACAATGGTGTGCCACAAGAAATCCAGCTTTGTTACGGACAACTGAGAATAGACTGAAACCCGTTTTACACATACCTGAGAGAGTAACTTTTCCAAAGTGAAGCTTGCCCGATTTCCACAGCAATGCACAATCCTGATTTCTGGTTAACTCTTAGTTCCCATGTGTCAACAATTCTCAGTCAGATTTCAAAGAGTACTTAGCAACATTTAAAAAAGAAAGTACATATGCTACATAATAGTATGTGTACACAGAAAATGCATATTTATCAACTTCCATGTTAAAAACACTGCATTCAGGGAGCTTGATTTTCTTCTATCAAACACATTCAGGTCATAACACAAGTTCGGCTATTCCCCTCGTTTACCAAAGAGCTTTCAATCACGCACCAGAGACAAGGCTCAGAAACATCCAATAAACCAAAACATTAGAATGGCAACCAAAACTATCTATTAGCACTGCTGCTCTCTTTTAACAGCATGAACTGCCACACCAGAACTAGTTGATTTACCAACCTAGACGCAAACCACAATGTAATCGCTCAGCAGCGCAACAAAGAATAGCAGAGAAGGAAATCCAGGATTTCATTTTCTTCCCTCAGAAAGACCATGAGCAAAAATTCAATTCACCAGTAAAACAGCAATTATTTTTGGATTTAAACACCTTGCCTGGTCGTTAACACAAGGCATTTGCTTCAAAACCTGAGGACAAAAGACAGTTTTCATCAGCAAACCTGATGCTGTGCAGAAGCAATACATCACCATCTATGAAGAGTTTGTACCACTTTTAATAATGTGGACTGCTATTCATTATCTTTTTTAGTAAGCTAAACACATTTATTAAAGGAATGGAAGGCTATAACTTCTGGTCTTCGTTGCTTCTTTTAATGATGTTTCTCTATGAGACAGTAGACATGAATGGAATGAAATACCCTGATAGGGACCAGTGTTGACTAAAAGACATAGTAAGACCAAAATGAATTTTCTAGGCTACCCTTCGGAGAACTCTGTAGTACCCGTTTTCAAGTTGAGCATTAAAGAAATGTTTTTCACACATTACTACCTTGAGTATTTCAGAGCCATCCAGCAGAATTTATACTCACGTAGTAATGGAAATTTGACATAACTGAGGAACTAGGATCCAAAATATAACGATCATTGCTGCTCTCCAGGAGGAATGAGAACGGTATGACTCCTAAAGGCCAGCAAAACCTGGGGCCTTAATGGAGCTGTCTATGAGAAGGAGGAGCACGTGATAAACCTAGAAGACAGGACACATTCCAGAATATGAGCACAGCACCTCTTCCAGGTAAGGACGGTTCTGAGCACTGTCAACATGTGAACACAGACCACATTTAAAATGTCAAACAAAAAAACCATGATATATGGTCCACCAAGAACACCGAGTTTATAGTGAAATTTATTGTTCTGCTTCCTAATACAATAAGCTACAAGGTACATACAGTATAAAACGAGAACGGCCACAAAGCAAAGGTGATAAACATTCTGTGACAGTACAGTGGAGGTAACGTCTGTCTAAACTTTCCACTTTATCCCACAAACAGCAGCTAAAACTACTGGCCCTCCCCCTCCCTCCCCTCGAAAAATATTAAAAAGTAAACTGTCTTTCTCACTTAGGAGCAGTGGGATTCGTTGGGTTTTTTTTGAGGGCACTGGTTATCTGCCAATATCTCAAGAAAACTGCTGAAACTAAAGTAACAAAAAAAAAAACTGTGAAGGTGGGAGTGACATGACCCATGCAAGATGCTCATGACACCTTGGTTCACTTCTCCTCAGAGCAAATGGCCTGTAAAGAAAGGAAAAGCTTGTTACACCAAGTAAAACAGCAATTAACATGGTCAGAGTTAAGATACAGTAAGCAAAATCTGAACTAGACAGGACTGGGCACACAGCTAAACTACTCTTTTGATGAAAACATAATCTTCTTGTTAATAAAGCTTGGAGATTGATCGCTGACAATCATTCTCCTTTTGTTTCTAGATGCTGTACAGGAGGGTGCACATTGACACGGGCACAGCTGACACCTATTATACAAGGCTCCAAGTCAAATTATCTGTCTGGGAAAACTCTAACAATGACATGAACTGCAACCTCAACTCCTAAAAAAAACCCCTAAAAACCATCAAGGCTATAAACATCCATGAAAACTGAATACTTACCTTAAAGGCACAAAATTCCATTTAACCACTTTTTCATATATACTTGGTGCGGTTGAGGGCTCTCTCAGCAAGATGACCACTTTCATCTGTTATCTTCTCCCAATCTGTTTGTCCAACAACAAAACCAATGGCCCTTTTCCTGTCTGCATCTTTTTTTTCTTCTAGATCTGCCCACCGCACCTATGGAGAACATACTATCAGTAGGACAATCTCTTAAGAAATCCTGAGAAAAGTCTAGGCTTTCCACTGCAGATAAGAGTACAAGAATTCTAATTTGTACTTATTTTCATTTGAACAGGTAAATATTAATTTGGTTTCTGAGGGGTAAAGATGGAAACTACAGGACTAGATGACCTCTAGGGGGTCCCTTCCAACCCAAAACATTCTATGATTCTATGATTATTTTTAATTGATATCTCAGGTGTTCTATGGAATAGAAGAAAGGTACAGATAATTAGCCTTTTCCATTTCAATGCTATAATTCTGAGAGCTTAAGTTTAATTACTACAATTATTTCTCTGTTCAAAGCAATGCTGTCTGCAGGAAGAATTATCAAAGATTCATTTAGTGTCTTCATTTTCAGTAGAACCTGTCTTTCAATTGCACAATCAAAGCATCTAGAAGACGACTGTGAAACTACAGAAAGACAGTGAAAGAGCAACTCGGCAATGAATGAGGGACAGTTTTCTTCTCTATCTTCTGTGATACATTTCTATTTAAATCTTCCCCACTATTTCTTTACACTAAATAACTTCTTCCTGCGTTTGTTATCTCCCATCTTTACATCTGCAGTCACCTCCTTGTGGCTTTTCATGGTCATGTGGATCACTTGCATTCATCCTGTTCAAACATACACAGTCACTCCCTCAGCCAGAAACCCAGACACCAGTGGGAGGGAGTGCAACAGGGAGGAGGGAGTGAGGGAGGTGATGATGAAGGCCTACAGTCCAGAAACTCAGCTGGAAAACACCACTGCAGGACAAAAAAAACCCAACAAACCAGTAAGTGAAGGAGCTCTTCCTTAACATCCTCAGTGATTAGTCCCATTCAGGCTGATTTGTTACATAGCCTTATCACCTTTCTGCAAGCACTTCCCTATTCCACTTTCT